AAACGTCTGAAGTTTAGGAGACATCCATGCCCTGCATCATCTTCATCGTCACCACCGCAGGAAGGTTCACCTACACTTTCTGCGGTCGCAGATGCGTCATGCGCCAGCCAACGAGGGTGCCTGCAGGTGTTACGATTGTTACTGCTACTACTGCTACTACTACTACTACTACTACTCCTACTCCCGCGGTTCTCGATACAATTGCTATAGCCCTGTTCCAACTATCACCAGTCTTCCAATAGGTGCAGTTCTCACTACTGTCACTATTCTTGCTGTTACAGTGGTGGAAGCACTGGCTTTTCGGGGTCATCCTTTGAAGCACTAGGCGGTGCTCAAGTTTAGGGTTTCGCAGTTTAAGGGTTGAGGGGTGTAGGATGCAACAGGAACATCCCTTGCGCACTGACCTGCTTGCAAGCCGTTACTGTTGCTGCGGTGAGCCGTCAAGCGTTCTTTCAAACGAATACTCTGCTTGCTAGCCAGGACCCAGCATACTGTTTCTCGAGAATGCCCTTGTCAGAACTTCCATGCTCAACCCACATAACATCCCTGAATGTCAACTCATGTGGGTTCGATTATGAAGGCTCATGGTCCGATGGTGGGAGATCATGTTGCTGTGGTTAGATAATAATGCTGACGAAGCCCACACAAGAGAAAACAAACAAGTGCCTGGGGTGTTTCCACTAGGCCATGAATTGCTGTCATATTTCATCTAATGCGGAAATGCATGGAAGCATTTCGACTGTGCGATCAATACCACGACTCTCGCAGACGATCTTGCGAACAGAGTGATTGCATCCGAAAGGGCGGTGCAAAGATGTGGGAGTTTCCCAGAATATGGGACTCTAATATAGTTCCCTGAATAGTTGGATCCTTGTTGTCTGGCTTGTGAGAGTCTAGGACCATGAATTCATATCCGAAATCCTGCATTGCTACATAGTATCATCCCCACAGGTTAGGGTTTTCGAGGTGACGAAGGATTTCGTGCGCCAACCTCCTACAAACCCAAACTCGACTGACCCTAGGCTCCAAAACGCCAAGGCCTGGGCTGCTAAAGCCGTAAACGCTGAGAAACCATAAACTGCTAAACCGGCTAAACCTCCAAAGCTCCCTAAACACCTAACACCTAAAGCCTAAATCCCTCACCCTTCTCCCCGAAACCCCTAAACCCCTATACCCCCCGAAACCCCCATACTCCTAAACCCTAAACCACTAAACCCTAGACACTTAACCCTAAACCCCAATACCCCTAAATGAACCCTAAACCCTACAGATCCCTGAAAGGAACCCTTATAATACCCTCTAAGGGATCCTTATACCCCTAAAACCATAAACCCCTAAACCCCAAAGCCCCGGTCTCGCCTATGCAGGGCGCATCCACGACGAGCAGCTGGTTGTCTACTCTCTCGGCATACGGTTTCAGGGCGGCCTCGAGCCGAGTTAGCTTTGTTTTAAACAAAGGTAACCAAAAAGAGACAAAGAGACAATAATAACCATAGTGGTAGTAGTAGCAGTAGTAGTAGTAGTAGTAGTCATGGTGGTGGTGGTAGTAGTAGTGGCCGTAGAAGCAGCAGCAGTAGTAACAATACTACCGACAATAGTGCTAGTAGTATGTGTCACACTACGCTCTCGTTACTGCAAAAAAAAGTCTCAATCAAACCTTACCAAGTAACACCAACTAACGGTACATGCTACACTAAACCCTAAACCATCATTTCTTCCAGAATCCTGGAAAGTCACACCGCCAATCGCAAAGGACTCTGACAAAAGTAGTCCCAACCCCGAAGCCCTGCGCACGCAAGACCCAAACCGCAAAATCAACAAAGTCACTCACTCACTCCCTGAACCCAGAATTTTCCAAACCGTGAGCCCCTAAACCCTTATGGAACCCCTTACATGTGGGTAGTTGTCAAGATTAAGGTCCCTTGTTGGGTACCCTAAATACAAGGTGCCGTATTTTAATAAGGGACCCCAAAAGGAACTATAATTTTGACAACCACCCATGTAACAGAACCTTCAGAGTTCATAATCAGGGAACCCGACCTTCGAGCCCTTTTTCGGAACTGTAGGGTTTAGGGTTTCAGGTGCACCAAAGCCTACTTTTTTGTAGGTTTCTTAAAAACCGGTCTACAAGAAGAACCTACAAAAAAGTAGGTTATGGTAGTTTAAGGTAGGGCTTAGTGCGACGGCCGACTGAGACCCGTGCACTAGCACAGCATTCGCCGCGGACGTAGCCATTGGCGGCCTGTGCGCTTCTGTTCTTTCCGGGTAATTTAGAGCCGTGGGGAGGGTGAGTACCTTGGCCCAAAAAAGGACTAGGTTTAGGGTTTAGGGTTCATAGGGTTTAGGGCCTAGGGTTTTAGGGTTTAGGCGTTTAGGGCATTGGGTTTAGGTACCCTGGCCCAAAAAACGTGAACATTCTGAACCAACACTCCGAACACCAGCATCCTACAAACACCAGACATGCCTTAACCCGGAGTCCAAAACCCCACATCCTAGACTGGATCCGCAAAACCTAAGCCAAAACCCTACATCCCAAAACCTGTGTATATAAATTCAAAAGCCCCAGCGCACCCCCCGGACTTTCGAGAGGTAGGCTTCACCTTATCACAGGTTCAGGTTTAGGAATAGCTGTTGCTATTGGTGATCATGCTTGGAAAATAGCTCTATATCTATCCAGGCTCTATAACTCTGCTTTAGAGGATCCGGCGTTTGGGGTCGGGGGCTTCCGAGCTTAGTGTTTGGGCTTCTTTCACAGCGAGGGGACTTTAGGGACAACATTTTTAGGAATGCTTTAGAACCCTGGCCCGCGCAAATCTTGGACATTCGCAAGACCGAACCCTTAAAACCCAAAGCACACCCTAAACCCTAAACCCTTAAAACCCTAAGCACGAAATAAACACACGCACCTTGCCTGGTCGAAGGAGAAACAGCGGCCCTTTGGGTTCATGTAGGCATTGAACCGAGGCCTCAGTTGGGAGTTTCCGAAAATTAGGGGTACCTTCTTTAGGGGTCTTTATAATAAGGATCCCTTTAGGGAGCCCTTTAAGGAACCCTTATTCTTTAACTAGGATACCCAGTAACCTAAGAATAAAAAGGCCTCTCTTTTTGGTATTGGGTAACTGTATAAGGAACCTAGGACTACAAAAAGGGAATAAGGGTACTACTGGGCATCCTAGTTGTCGCTGAGAACGGTCATGGATGTCAATGGTCCCGAGCTTTAGCTTCACCGAGAGCTGCGATCACTAATCCGAGGGTTCAGCGTTTACACAAGCCCTAAGCTAAGATTACTACTGACCCAAAACCCTAAACCCCCCAAACCCCTAAACCCTAAGTTCAGGGTTTAGAAGCTACTGTGTTGGGTTGAAGGCTTGGGAAGTTTGGAGTTCGGACTCCAAACTTGATTGTTGAGTTTCCTTAGGTTCAGAAAGCTGAAGCTAGGTTTAGTTTTTTGTTTTTAATCGGTTTAGGGTTTAGGGTTGACAGTCTAGTTTCGAGAAACTCACGCCACATATGGGAGGGCGTTGAGACTTCGGGGTTTAGGGGGCTTAGAGTTTAGCGGCCAGCGCTCCGTGCCAATCACCCAGCACCTCACTGGTGGCCGCTTTAACCCGTGTCCGGCTCAGGTTGGAATCGGACTCTGTTCTGGTTTGGGATTAGGGCTCAAGTCTTTCTCGCAGTCTATCCTGTTGTCTAAGCTTCCTTTGAACCAGGGTTCCTTTGTACGGGGTGTTTGAGTTGGGGGTGTGGCCGTTGACAGCTTTTGTGCAAGGGTTTCTCCGGATTTGGATTGGTTTGGTGGAAGATAAGCTTTTGTGAGTCTACCTAAACCCTAAACCCCAAAACCCTAAACCCTAAGGCTTTGCGGCTCAAAGCTTTGAGCGTTGTCCGCCGCTAGTGGCCGGGGCTGATGAATTTGGGAAGGCAGCCTTGCAATTCACGTGAACTGAGGGCATGGCCACATGAAGGGCGACATCTGCAGGAAAACTCCACCACAGATTGCCGCCTTCCATGCGATGCTCTGATTTCGCACTCATGCCAACTATTACTGTTGCCACCTGCCTAAAACCCCCCCCCTCTTCAGCCTTACTGCACCCTACACTCAAAACCCAAAACCCCAAACCCTTTACTGCGATTTCCATAATTGCTACTGTTCTGACTACCTGTTTGCTGCGCAGTTTCGGAGGCATGATGAAACGCCCGAGCACACTTGGAGGTGCATGGGTAGTCACAAGTAGGGCTTAGAAAGTTCCTTTAAGGGATCTATAAGGGCTTCATAAGGGTTCTATAAGACGACGTTCATGGGTAGTTATAAGTAGGGTTATAATTAAGGCAACCGAAATAGTAAACCATATTAGGGGAGTTGTAACCCCACTTAGAACTATCCATGAACCTCCAAGTAGGGTTTAGGGCTTAGCTTCAGCCTGTTGCTGCTGGTCTGCTAGGTAGTTCAAACTGAATTTGAATAGACTCATGTCGAGAAGGCTTGCGCTGGGCTCCCCGAGGAAGGCGCAGGTGGATTGTTGCCGATTACAAGTCTGTGCAAGCAAAGGGAGTTTCCGAACATTGAGGTACCTTATTTTGGGGTCCGTATAATAAGGATCCTACTATTTAACATACTATATTAGGGTCCCCTATTCTCGGCAACTGCCATGATGTTGCAGCTGCATATCAGACTTCGAGAACCCTAAACCAGTGGGAGCTCTTGCATCGAAGGCCTCTGTTGTAACGAGGATAGGCAATTCTCTCTTGACAAGAGGTTTCGGTGGAGGCGCACAAAGAACTTGAAGAAGGCAGCTGCTGGCCTTTATATGCCTTTATGGGGCCCCGAAAGTGCAGTCTTTACTGCGGAGTGTCGAAACACACACGAGTCTAAATCACCGTATGCCGTCTGACTACACAGTATGCGTCCTGCCCATTATTGCACCAACATCCGCAGTATGCCCTCGATCCTGATCTTTTTCCGCGCGGCGAGGGCAGGTTCAGCTTGACTTTGGCTGGCTTTAGCCCTCCATGGTGGCGTCAGTTTGCCTGGCTCGCTCGGCAAGCCAGGCGTCGTACATGACCTGTTTGAGGCAGCTCAAGGTTTAAAGCATGAGCACTACAGTAGCTACACAGCGATGTCTTGAAGGTTTCCGTTGAAGTTTACAATATCCTTCAATGATTCAATGACGTACGAGAGTTTAGTTGCTTGAAATAGCCGCCACGCCAGAGTGCATGTAGTGGTAGCCGTCGTCGTCGTAGTAGTAGCAGTAGTAGTAGCAGCAGCAGCAGCAGGAGTAGTAGTAGTAGTAGTAGTAGTAGTAGTAGTAGTAGTAGTAGTAGTAGTAGTAGTAGTAGTAGTAGTAGTAGTAGTAGTAGTAGTAGTAGTAGTAGTAGTAGTAGTAGTAGTAGTAGTAGTAGTAGTAGTACTAGTAGTAGTAGTAGTAGTAGTAGTAGTAGTAGTAGTAGTAGTAGTAGTAGTAGTAGTAGTAGTAGTAGTAGTAGTAGTAGTAGTAGTAGTAGTAGTAGTAGTAGTAGTAGTAGTAGTAGTAGTAGTAGTAGTAGTAGTAGTAGTAGTAGTAGTAGTAGTAGTAGTAGTAGTAGTAGTAGTAGTAGTAGTAGTAGTAGTCGTAGTAGTAGTAGTAGTAGTAGTAGTAGTAGTAGTAGTAGTAGTAGTAGTAGTAGTAGTAGTAGTAGTAGTAGTAGTAGTAGTAGTAGTAGTAGTAGTAGTAGTAGTAGTAGTAGTAGTAGTAGTAGTAGTAGTAGTAGTAGTAGTAGTAGTAGTAGTAGTAGTAGTAGTAGTAGTAGTAGTAGTAGTAGTAGTAGTAGTAGTGGCACGACTAGGACCAAGACCAGAACTAGGACCATTAGCAGCAGGAGTGCTGTGGTAGGAGTATCAACAGTAGCAGTATCAGTAACAGTAGCATAGCAGTATCAAGCAAATCTAGCTTTCAGGCCAACCTGAATATCATTCTGATCACATGAGCCATGGTTCACAATGATCACCTTTGCAAGGCAGGTTCATTGGCTTGCTGTGTTCGGATCCGTTTTAGATTTCGTCCCTACTCGGACTCCTTCCTTTCCTGGCGCCTTTATCGGCTCCCCTCCACTTTGTAGGGGCTTGATAGAAGAACTGACCTCCCAAAGCCTAAACCTCAAACAACGGCTCCTCAACCCGCCCAGCAGCCTCGCGACTTGGCCCGAAGACTGTCTCCACCACGAAATCCTCCACTGCCGCACATCCCAAGCACCTGTAGTTGCACCGTAGTTTCGAAGCAGGAGGACCTTTTTTTGGAGTTTGGCTAGAAGAGACTCTATTTGTAAAGTCAGCTTACTTTGAAGCCTACTTATCTAAGCTGCCTGATCCATTAAGTTCTTGCTCATACTTCGCGGAAATCCCCACACCCTGAACCCCACCACAGCGTAACAAACAAACAAACAAACCCCTAAATCTTAAGAAGTGGGCTTGAAGTGCGAGATCTTCTGTCCTCACTCTTTGATAGAAAAGTTTAAGCTCTATCTTGTGCCGTTGCCACTGCTATACCTGTTCTTGCATGTTATTGCAATAACTGTGTCTTTTGCAAATCTAGTGTCCTTTTCTGCTTCCATCTTCGAGATTTACGGGCTTAGTCTGACCGTTCATCGTACAGCCTACGCCCGAAGCCCGACGGGGGACAGGCCCTTCTTTTGCCTGTGCTGCGTCAGCCTGAGACTTCAAGCCTCTTCTAAGAAGGTTTAGGGTTTAGGGGTGTAGGGTTTAGGGTTTAGAAGTTCACCAGAACCTCCGAACCTCAAGGCCGAACGTACCAAACCCACAGGGCCCAAACTCAGAATCCCTGATCTCACCACTAGCCCTGAACCACAAACCAACAATTTTTCCAGAGTTGAGGGTTTAGGCCTAAACTTTAGGGCCCTAAACCTGAAACCCTAAACCGAAGCTGAGGCGCTCAAGATCGTAGGAAGTGGAACCAGGCTCACTAAATGTTTCCAGCTTCGCCAAGGCGTTCTGAAACCTTTGAGGTCTCTATCCAGGGTTTTAGGAGGCACATGGGTGGTTGTCAAAACTACGGTCCCTTTTGGGGAACTTAATACAATACGGCACCCAATTTTTAGGACCCAAAAAGGGACCCTAATTTTGACAACCACCCATGTACAAGGGGTTCTATAGCGATTCTATGAGGGATCTGCAAGGGTTCCGGAAACCTCTGTGGCTTCTACGATTAAGGGATCTTTCCGTTTCCTCTAAGGGCTCCGCGGTTACGAGGTCTCTGTAACAAACTTGATAATTGGGCCCTCAAAGCTAGAATAGGGTTTTGGGTATACTGCGCCAATGTATCACACGATAAGTCTATAAGTTAACCCTAAAGCCGAAGCCCCAAGTTTCATCCAAGGGTAAAAGGAGGGACCCTTAATAAGGACCCGTAGGTAATATACCCTTAGTATAGCCGTTATATACCCATTATATAGCCCATTATAGGGTAGGGGTCCATATTAAGGGTCCCTCCTTTCCCCTTTGATTTTATAGACTCAGGAAGAGTTCTGGCTGCAAGATTCTATAAGGGTGGTTGTCAAAATTAAGATCCCTTTTTGGGTCCTTACTATAGTACGGCACCTATTATTTAGGGTACCCAAAAAGGGACCCTAATTTTGACAACCACCCATAAGGCATCTAAGTTCTACAAAGGGTCTGTACGGGCCTCTGAGGCTTGGAGTTCTTGGGGTGTAGGGTTTAAGGTAAAAGCCAGAAAGTTGGAATATGATTATCCTAACCCTTCTATGGTAAATTATAGGGGATCCTACCATTAATCCATATTCCAACTTTCTGGAGTTCCCTATAATGGTTTAGAGTTTAGAAGGGTCTCAGGGTCTAGGGTTCAGGAGTTTAGGCGTCGGACAGAGGTTTGTGAATTTGGAGCTGCGGGGATTGAAGTTTCGTTGCGGGATCTGCAAGGAGTCAGAGCTTGGGATTTTGGGTTGGGATTTGGGCTTTAGCTGTCGATGTAGGTTGAAACCCTAAACCCTAAACCCCAAAACCCTAAACCCTAAACCCTAAACCCCAAAACCCTAAACCCTAATTCGGGAAATGAGCTTGAGTCTTGCCTGGCGGGTTGGCCTTTGTCGAGCTTCAGGGTCTTGTTGCTCGGATGCGCTTGGGTATTTCACAGTTGAGGGTCCCCAGAGAGCCCCTAATCCCCGTAATTAAGGAATATGGCTTAGATTATATAGGGCTTCATATGATGATTTAAGCCATATTCCTTAATTAATGGGTAGTGGGCTCTCTGGGTCTGAGAAGTCAAGAGTCAGGTCTACCTTAACCTACTAAACCCTGCCTTTTTTGTGGGGTTCCTATAAACTCCATATCGGGGTTCATCATAAGAACCTGCACAAAAGTAAGGTTTGGTAGGTTAAGGTAGAGTGGAGTATGTGCATCTCAAGGAGAGCTCACACTACACAAATGCAAAAAATCGTGTGTGTATAAATTTTTGGTCTGTTTATTCACACATCTATGTATGCAGTTAAACACACACACACACAGGCTTACATGCGGATAGTTGCTGTCCCCGGAGCGAAACTTAACCCACCAAACTCAAAGCTCCGTCATAAACTAGGTTCCCGAGTAGCACTTTTTGTACTCAGAGTACCCTCTTGTATTTTCTACCATCTTTCTTGAATAGAGGGCCCCTAAAACAAAAAGGGGCAAAAGAGTACCACTCGGAACATAGTTTCACGAGGCCCATCAAGGCACTATGGATCAAACTCTAAGCCCTACACCCTAAACCCTAAACCTTCAAACCCCAAACCCCTAAACCCGCAACCCCTAAACCCTCAAACCCTAAACCCTCGACACTTAACCCTAAACCCCTATACCCTAAACCCTAAACCCTTAAACCCCTAAACCCTTAAACCCCTAAACCCTTAAACCCCTAAATCCTTAAACCCCTAAACCCTTAAATCCCTAAACCCTGAAGTGAGGGCCGGCAGCTTCGGGTGTTCTGAAAGCCGGCTGCGCAGTTCGGCCACTGCCGTGGCAAACCTGAGTTCTCCTTCAGGATCTTAGAGGTTTGGGGTTTGGGGGTTTAGGGGTGTAGGGGTTTGGGGGTTTAGGGTTTAGGGGTTTAGGGGTTAGGGGTTAGGGTTTAGGGTTTAAGGGGTTTAGGGGTTAGGGGTTAGGGTTTAGGGTTTAGGGGTTTAGGGTTCAGGATCTTCGTCTTCAGGACGTTAGAGCACTTTGCAAGTTTCTTGAACAAATTTGTTCAGTTACCGTACTAAGGAAAGCATAGTATCCACTGTGCAGCCCCGAGGCGAGGTCGTAACTGAAACGCTAAACCAAAGAACCGCAGGTTCGATAACAAGGACCCAGACACGGCTGCCGGCATGCTGAAGGGGGATTGGCCCCTTTGCCGCCTTTGCCTCAATCAGGGCAGTGTTTGCTTTGGGGTTTGCGGGTTCATGGTTTAGGAGTCTCTACTTGGAGGTTCACGGGTAGTTATAAGTAGGGTTATAGGTTGGAAAACTATGGTTGTAACACATATTAGGGGACTTCTAACCCCACTTATAACCACCCATGAACCTCCAAGTAGAACCCTAGCAACTCCTCAGACTTCCTTAGACCTTGGTAACTCTTCGGTGAATCCTGTGTTTTCGGCCTTAAGATTAAGTGCTTTAAGTTGTCAACGGCTGCAAGGACGCTGCGCCCTAAGCTCCAAACCCAAACCCCAGCTTCTTTGCGCAGGCCCATGTAAAAATAGACTTCGCGCCCACCGAAAAGTAGGTCTTCATGCGAGCAACGCATATTCGGAGACTCTGAAAAAATCGAGACCCGATTCTGGTGGTACAAGGTAGCTTTGCTACATCGGGTCTCGTGTCTCTCGCTCTCATTCACTTATCTTTCTCTAGTCCCTTAACCTACTGATGAAAATGCAACTCTGAACTCCACAAGTTCAACCCGAAGACTCAACACAAGAACAACGAAGTAGTTCCAACCTCTGCTAAGTGTCTGCTGAAGACCCTGACTCAAAGGGCCCTGAACCTCCAAACATACAAGGCCCCGAAACTCCTAAACCCTAAACGTAGTTGGTGAGTTCAGAAGCCCCAGAAAAGTGTAAACTTTCAGCTCAGCAGGGCCCACTAAATGCAAAGTGTTCCCACTAACTAAGGCCTACTTGTCGGGCTTAATGGGCAACTAAAGGTTATATAGGGTTTGTATAGGGATTGTACTACCCCAAAAGGGTTAAAGGTTCCCTACTCTACTACTAGGAAGGTACTAAGTAAACCCTCGAGATCCCTCATAGCAACCCTTGCCGGAAGCCTCAAAAAACCAGAAACAGTTCTAAGCACCGCCCAGCTTCCTTTCCCGAGGCGATTTGGATCCCCACACTCTTGCTGGACTTCCTTGTTAGAGGGCTTAGTGTTTTGGGTGTAGGCGGTGGGGGTTAGGGTTTTGGAGCTTTGGGTTTAGGACCTAGGGTACTCATTCTTGACGGACTTCCTTTTTCCCAAAGACCCCACATTCCCCTTCATGCAAAAAATTTGAAAAACATCGAACAAGAAACCCTCCATTGATTATGGTAAACTCCATTAGACCCTAAACCCGAAACCCTACACCACTAAGGTAGACCTGAGGGCAGTTTGGAGCTCAGCTTGAAGATGAAAGGTGGAGAGCTTTGAGGCTTGGCAGCTTTCAGGGTTTAGGGGTTAAGGCGTTTGGGGTGAAGGGGTTTAAGGGTTTATTTGGAGGCTCATGGGTAGTTATAAATGGAGTTATACGTCCTCTGGTTTAGGTTATAGCCAAAGTTATCCTACTTATAACTACCCAGGAACCTCCACTTAAAGAACCCTTATGGATTCCAACCCTACCCAGAGAGCCCAATGCCCCTTAATTAAGGAATACAGCTGAGATAAATCATAATATGAAGCCCTATATAACTATGTAATTTAAGCCATATTCCTTAATTACGGGGTATTGCGCTCTCTGGGCACGTATGACCCCAACGTTAGCTATACCCCCCTTAGAACCATCATAAAAATAGTGTGTTTAATGTTATCTTGGGCTTTATATAAGAACCAAAAATACTAGTTCCTAAGGGGACTATAGTTAAAAGGGCTTAGGGGCCTGCCCTGAACCCCGCAGCTGTGCAGCACTAAAATAAACCTCCGACATTGAATACTGTAGGGGCCTTAATGATTGGAGATTTGTGGGTAATATAGGGGGCTTGATGAATAGAATAGGGTTCTTGCAAAGGGGTCTATGGGCAACCATAAGGGGCTTTTACGGGTACTATAATGTAGGGCCTTTGATGATTCGAAAGGGGTCCCTTTAAAGGGGTTTATACAAGGGTTACTGTAAGGGATCTGTCATTTCCATAAGGGTACACAAATATAGGGGCCTTAGTCATTAGAATAAGGTCTGGGGGTATATTTTACGATTAATATATTCAAAAGGAATCCTTGAGAATAGTGTAGGTAATTATTTAGAGACCAATGATTAGGACAGTATGGAATACGAATAAATAGCGACTATAAGAGATACTTGTCATCAGTGATGTGTATAGGCCATACGTAATTTTAGTTGATGCCCTTGAGGCCGTGGATTCGTCGACGCCGCGACGCTGCGCCTCCAAATTCACGCGCAGCTACGGTCATCAATGGACTGCCCCTAAACCACAAAACCCCTAAACCCCTACACCCTAAACTAAACCCCTAAAACCCCAAAACCCTTTTCCCAATTTTGCAAGCATCTGCACTAAACCACATTGAAGTGACGAGATGTCTTGAAGCATTGGCCTCCAGTGTCTGGTGTATAGGGTTTACCTGTAGCCGAAAAGACCTACCTTTTTAAGGAACTATATATATATATATATATATATATGTATATATAGCTAACGGGAGCCCTAAAAAGGTAGGTCTTTGCAGCTACAAGTAGGGTTTACAGTCTGGGGTTCAGGTTGCAGACGTGCAGGCCAAAGTTCGCTGACGCACGTGTACCAGTGTCTCGTGTACTCATTCGCCTTGTCACAGGCCTGAAGAACTTCATGCGGCACCTGGGCTTCCGATGGGCCAGTTTCAGTATAGTTTGCGGGGGTATGTGGGAGTTTCCGAAAATTAGGGGTACCTCTTTTTGGGAAACCCTAAACCCTAGTCCTTGCCATAAGGATCCTACTATTCAGGGTACTATATAGGGTCCCCTGTTTTCGGAACTCCCATGTGCCAGACTCAGCTTTCGTTTCTGGGTCGTGTTCGCTCTGCACTTGGAGGTTCATGGGTAGTTAAAATTGGGTGACAAGGGCTTAGGGTTCCTTTTAATTCTAAGGGTTTCTTTATGGGCTCCATGGGGTTTGCGGAGTAGGGTACTTATAATTGGGGTTAGAAGTCCCCTAATATGGGTTATAAGTATGGTTACCCTACTTATAACCCTACTTGTAACTACCCATGAACCTCCAAGTAGGGTTGAAGGTCTTGTTTTGGCCTCCGGGTTCGAAAAGGTCAGGGCTTACATGTTTGATGATGTGGCTTTTGAGATTACTGGGGTTTAGGGGCTTCGTCTGTGGGGGATTAGTGCGTAGCTGGGGGTTTGGTTTTAGAGAGTGCTTGCTAGTCTTCTTCCTACGCCTCATCTTCATCGCAGCACCGATGCCATCACTGTCATCATCATCATCGTCATCATTATCGGCACTGTCATGAGCGAAATGCTCGTATCGCCGTGACCAGTGCCGTTGCCATCGCAATCACCCCGGCAATGTATCTATCATAACAACAGGACAGCATGGGTAAGACCGATAGGTTATTGCTGCTGAGGTAGGAGCAGTACTGGTACTGGTGGGAACATTATATGATTAGCAGTCAACTAGGCATTGCCCATGAAAGTAGTGAGGGCAGCATTGATGCTAGCCCCAATGCAAGTAGTACCGAGAAAGAGACCGTTGGACTCACATGCACACTTGCCTTCCGAGCACGAATGACCTACCGCTGTATATCGTACTGGCTGGAACATACTGGAACAATGACTAACCAAAGCATGCGAATCTTCCTCTGCTTCTTGCATGTTTCCAGTGCTTCTGCTGCTGCTGCTGCTACTACTACTACTACTACTACTACTACTACTACTATTGTTATTACTACTACTACTACTACCACCACTACCACGACACTACACCACGACTTCGACGACGACTACCACTACTACCACGACCACGACCACTCCTCCTCCTGCTGCTGCCACTACAAATGCTACTGGTACTTGCCATCACAACGCTCACCACTGGTCCCGAAACCCTGCAAAGCCCTAATATGAACAACACCCTGAACCATAAACGGCAAAACCCCAAACACTAAATCTCTAAACCCTAAAACCCTAAACACCCCTGAAACCCGAAAGCCCTTTAGAACCCTAAAGCCCTACACCACCAAACCCTAAAACCCTGAAGCCCTAAATCCCGAAGCCCCCAAACCCTAAGACCCTGAAGCCCTAAAACGCCGAAAAACCACCCAAACTAAAGACCTACCTTAATCTACCATACCTTTCTTCTTTGTAGGGTCCCTGCAAAATCCATATTAGGGTTCATAATAAGAACCTACAAAAACGTAGGGTTTGGTAGGCTAAGGTAGGAGCTCAAAGCCCCAGAGAATATGAAGCCCTATATTTACAATTTAAGCCATATTCCTTAATTAAGGGGCCAAAACCACCAAAACTAGAGGACCCTAAAACCAAAAAAAAAAAAAAAACAAAACTAAAGGACCCAAAAACCAAAAAAAACACCAAAACTAAAGACCTAGGAGCTCGCAGAGAAGAGGTGAAGGGTTTCGCAGGCCACGCCTCAAGTCCGTTCATGCCTTAGCTCGCGCTTTTTTGCACTTACTTGAAGGATCGGGGGACTTAGTAAGGGCCCCCTTTAAAGGGATCTATAGAGATTCTATAAGGGTATAGGGTTCAGGGTTCATGGGTAGTTATAAGTAGGGTTCTAAGTCCCCTAATATGGGTTATAACTCATGTTATCCTACTTATAGCCCTAGTTATAACTACCCATGAACCTCCTAGTAGTGTTTTTAGGCTTAGGGCTTGTATAACGGGATCAAGAAGGGTTCGACGAGGGTTTAGGATGGTTTGGGGTTTAGGGTTCAGCCAGGGATCTATAGTGGTGTAGGGTTTCGGGCTTAGGGTTTCAGGCGCTGAGGGTTTAGGATTAACGGTGTCCTGGCTGCTTACCCTGCGGTCGGGGCTTTTGGTTTCAGTTTCAGGGTTTAGGGTTCTTCTTTACCGGTGGATTGGGATTTTCTGCGTTTTTTGAGAAGCTTGAGTTCTATATCATAAGAAAACGCAAAAACACGACGGAGATATGCATATTTATGGGATGTATGTGTGTGTATGTGCAAAATCATACTGCTGATGCGCAAAATCCTGCATTGGCCTAAGCATACCGTTAGCTGGAGGCAGTATGGCATACTCCTTATTCCGGACAGCACCCATCCTCCGCTGCTACCAAGATGCATGGATCGAAAGGTCTCTCCTCCCCCATCTCGGCCCTCGCGGGATGTGATGTGCAGGCTTGGTGAAGGGAACTCGGCTTTGAGTGTAACGTAGGGACCCTAGGAACTAGGATGGGTTTTGGGGGCATACTAGATGATATAAATAGAAATAACAAGGAATCCCCAAAACCCTATTCTAATTATTAAGGCTTAATAATTAGAATAGGGTTTTGGGGATTCCTTGTTATTTCTATTAAGGCCGGGGGCCCTTACATTAATGTTCTGGGCCTGCACTTGCTAGTTTCGGGTCTATGGGTCCGGGCCATACGCTGGAGTCGACTCATGGGCCCTGAAGCAGGCTTGGGTTTAGGGTTTAGGGTTTAGGGTTTAGGGTTTAGGGTTTAGGGTTTAGGGTTTAGGGGTTTAGGGGTTTAGGGGTTTAGGGGTTTAGGGTTTAGGGGTTTAGGGGTTTAGGGGTTTAGGGGTTTAGGGTTTAGGGTTTAGGGTTTAGGGTTTAGGGTTTAGGGTTTAGGGTTTAGGGTTTAGGGTTTAGGGTTTAGGGTTTAGGGTTTAGGGTTTAGGGGTTTAGGGGTTTAGGGTTTAAGGTTTAGGGGTTTAGGGGTTTAGGGTTTAGGGTTTAGGGTTTAGGGTTTAGGGTTTAGGGTTCAGCAGCTCCGGATCGAGCAGTTTTAAAGTAGAGTTGTGTTTACAGTTTAGAAATAACACCCACCCACCCTCAGAATCCCACAACATCAGGGAAATACAAGGTTTCACTTCTCTCACAGCTTGAAACATTAACCCCTGAACCTTTAAACCCTAAACCTTTAAACTCTGAACGCTTAAACCCTGAACTTTGAAACCTCGAGAATTGGGCCTATCCCACGAATTCCATTAAGCTTGGTCTGGAAGTTTGGGCCTATCCCACGAATTCCATTAAAGTTGACGGGCTTTCGGACCAACCTTAATGGAATTCGTGGTTTAGGCACGGGCTTTCGAACCAACCTTAATGGAATTCGTGGTTTAGGCACAGGCTTTCGGACCCCTGAACCCTTAAACCCTAAACCTTTAAACTCTGAACGCTTAAACCCTGAACTTTGAAACCTCGAGAATTGGGCCTATCCCACGAATTCCATTAAGCTTGGTCTGGAAGTTTGGGCCTATCCCACGAATTCCATTAAAGTTGACGGGCTTTCGGACCAACCTTAATGGAATTCGTGGTTTAGGCACGGGCTTTCGGACCAACCTTAATGGAATTCGTGGTTTAGGCACGGGCTTTCGGACCAACCTTAATGGAATTCGTGGTTTAGGCACGGGCTTTCGGACCAACCTTAATGGAATTCGTGGTTTAGGCACGGGCTTTCGGACCAACCTTAATGGAATTCGTGGTTTAGGCACGGGCTTTCGGACCAACCTTAATGGAATTCGTGGTTTAGGCACGGGCTTTCGGACCAACCTTAATGGAATTCGTGGTTTAGGCACGGGCTTTCGGACCAACCTTAATGGAATTCGTGGTTTAGGCACGGGCTTTCGGACCAACCTTAATGGAATTCGTGGTTTAGGCACGGGCTTTCGGACCAACCTTAATGGAATTCGTGGTTTAGGCACGGGCTTTCGGACCAACCTTAATGGAATTCGTGGTTTAGGCACGTGGCTTTCGTGGACCAAGCCCGTGCCTAAACCACGAATTCCATTAAGGTTGGTCCGAAAGCCCGTGCCTAAACCACGAATTCCATTAAGGTTGGTCCGAAAGCCCGTGCCTAAACCACGAATTCCATTAAGGTTTAAATTACTATATGATAAAGAAATTTAGGGTTTAGGGTTTAGGGTTTAGGGGTTTAGGGGTTTAGGGGTTTAGGGTTTAGGGTTTAGGGTTTAGGGTTTAGGGTTTAGGGTTTAGGGGTTTAGGGTTTAGGGTTTAGGGTTTAGGGTTTAGGGTTTAGGGTTTAGGGCTTGTAAACATTCACCCCACAAAAAGGAAGTTACCGAAAATTAGGGGTACCTTACGTTGGGGTCCTTATAATAAGGATCCTACTATTTAGGGTGCTATATTAGGGTCCCCTATTTTCGGAAGCTCACAAAAAGACCCGGGGTTAAAGCTTTAAAGTAAAAGCCAGAAAGCTGCAATATGATTTTCCTAAACTTTTTATGGTAAATTATAAGGTATCCTACCCTGAAACCATATTCCAACTTTCTGGAGTTCCCTTTAAAGCTTTAGGATGTCGGGTTTAGGATTGAGGGTTCAGGGTTCAGGCTTTGTTGCACGAAGCATCGCCAAAGCCGAGACTCTTTTCCCCATAGCCCGAAACAGCACAAGCCTAGCAACCTATAATCCTGAACTCTAAGCACTAGATTGAAGCACCAAAATACCTGCTTTTTTAGTCCGTACAAGGGCTCAAAAGAAGAACCTAGAACCTATAAATGCTCAAGACTAAATCACCCTTGTGGATCCCTTCACAGCAGAAAATTCCAATCCGCCCAGTCCTCCAATTTGACAGGAAGTCGGCGCATGTCCAGCCAGGGATTTCACATCCGGCAATCCGCACAGGCCCGATGCACTTATGCATCGCCTCCGCTTCCTCTGGCTCCTCTCCTCCCCGGGTTGAGTAGGATTTAGGGTTTAGGGTTTCGGGGTTTAGAGGTTTGGGGTTGAGGGGTTTAAGAGGTTTAGGGTTGAGGGGTTCAGGGGTTTAGGGCTTAGGACTTGGGGCTTGGAGGTTTCGGATTTTCTTTTTGTTCGTCTCGCAGGCTGCCGTGACTTCAACCGTTTCTGCTCTGGTTCATGCCATGCCATCGTTTAGGAGTTAGGGTTTAAGGCTTTAAGGCTGATAGGGTTTCGGGTTTATGATCTCAGTTTAGGGGTTAGGGGATTAATGTATAGGAGTTAGGATTAGGGGGACCTTTGGGAGTGTAGAACCTCTCAATGAAGTCTCTGTTTAAGACAGCCACAAGTAGGGTTCAGAAGGGTCCTCGTTAAGGCTACTACCTAGGATCATTGTCTCTGAGAGACCCAAGAGTAACGTAGGGGCTTATAAGGGAACGTGGAGTAAGATGCGCAAGTTGGTACATGGTGGCACGAAACCCTAAACCCTAAACCCTGAGAAAGCACCGGGTTTCGGGTTTAGGGGTTTAGGTTAGTAGGGGCCCCCACCCTGTAAGTGGTACCCTATAAAAGGGAATAAGGCCTACTCCAGCTCCTAATCTACTAGTATTTTTTAGGGTTTAGGGGTTTAGGGTTTAGGGTTTTCTCTGTGCCCTCGCCCCTCCGCTAGACACCCTAAACCAGCATCAGACCCTCAATCCTCAAGTCCCGCGAACCCAAAGCCCCAAGTTCAGTACGTAAGACCTAAAAGCTTGAACTCTAAGTGGGTAAGTTTAAGTACCCACAATATCTACATGCAGTAAGTCATCTGCTTGTCTTGTCATGGAAACTTAAACTGGGCCCCGTGCAACCCGGCAAAACTCTTACAAAGCTCCATAAAACCTACAACACCCTGAACCCTCTAAATCTTCAGTGATGACCCTGGAAAGCGCTAAGCCCTAGACCCGAAAATTCTAAAGCCCTGAATCCTCCACCCCTAGAATCAAAAGGGGAAAAGGAGGGACCCTTAATGGGGACCCCTACCCAATAATGGGCTATATAATGGGTATATAATAGCTATATTAAGGGTAAATACCTAGGGGTCCTTATTAAGGGTCCCTCCTTTAACCCTTGGATTTCTGTATTCATACAATCCTAGGGGTCCTTCTTGGGATTTAGTCAGTACGGTTATAAGTACCCTAATTGGGGCTATAACTAGACATAAGAGTAACCTAGGAATAAAAAGGGTGCCCTTTTTGGGTTAAAGGGTGTTATAAAGGGAACCTAAACCCTAAAAAAGGGAATAAGGGCTTACTCTGGGTCCTATAAGAAGACACGGGCTTCTCTCTAAGATCCTGGAGGTTTCCCCCAGCGCGTAGACGCCGCCTGAGCCATGGCCTCTGCAAAGCCGGGTTCCAATCGTAGGAGTTCCTTCGCAACTCTTAGGGGCCGGGCTCAGAGTCTGGGGTTTAGGGTTTAGGGTTTTGGGTTTGGGTTTAGGGTTTAGGGCTTAGGGTTTTGGGTTTAGGGTTTTGGGTTTAGGTTTAGGGTTTAGGGCTTAGAGCTGAAGGTTTTGGATCCCTCACAGCAACCCTTCTAGATCCCTAAAACGGCGGCGCTTCTCAATCCAACTCGTGGCTCGCTTACAAAGGGCGATATGGAGTTGGCCTATATCCCCAAAGGTGCCCCTAATCCTAACTCTTTTCTACCTACATGCCTAGGAGCACTGATGCAAAGGACCGACCCTTCCAGGCGAGGTTGCTTGATTGAAGGTCCGGGTCCTGAACCTCCATTATACGGTTGATGATGTACATCCTGCAGTACCCATAATAAGGAATATACCATAATTCCCATAGTTAAGGGCCCTTAGGGTAATGCAGGATTTATATCATCAACCGTATTATAGGGTTTAGGGTTCATCCTAAACCGTAAATCGAAACGCCGCAAGGCAAGCCAGAAGTCACCGGTCTAGCGCGCTCCTCCCAAGACTTTGCCCGCAGACTGGCCGAAGTCACCATGCTGGAGTACTGGATCACATGGCAGGCCTCGAGGTCTAGCTGAGGGTTTGGGGTTTGGGATTGTGGTTTCCGAGCCCTGAACCCTGAAAACCCTAAGCCCTAAACCCTAAACCCTAAACCCTGAACTCTCAACAGAGTTTAGTGTTATGGGGTTGTTACACCTTCAGGCCTAAGCTCTAAACAGCTTTGTGGAAATCGTGGCTCTTCATGAAAACCCAGAAGACGACGAAGAAAAGGTTTAGCCTCAACAAGAGACTCGTAGACGACGACATTCTCGGTTTAGGTCAAGGTGTGGAAAGCCATATTGTGACGAAGCAAGCTGCTAACTACGACAGTTGCCGTCACTGTGGATATCCTGATCGAATCAAAACAGATATACTCGCAGCAGTACTCTTCTTGCTGCTCTTATTCGCAAGGCAAGCAGCAGGCAGCAGAACAAGAACTACCCTCAGCCTTCACGAGTGTGGAATTCAAGACATTGCCTCGTCCACGCAGACAGTGGTGGCCAGTAGCTCACCTTAGGGGCTGACTACCCTAGCCCAACAAAGGTTAACCTCTGTGAACTGCCTCAGCCTACCAAACCCTACTTTTCTGTAGGGTCCCTAGAAACTCCATATTAGGGTTCATAGTATGAACCTCGAAAAAAGTAGGGGTTTGGTAGGCTAAGGTATGGTAGGACTGAATAAACACCGAAAACTTAAAGCTTACCCATGTCAGCTCCGGAGTCGCCATCCTGCAGTAGCAGCACTGCGGCCAGCCAGCTGCCGCCATCACCAATCATATCGGCAGAAGCCTTGTTGCTGGGAAATTTAGGGTTTGGGCTGTAAGGTTTAGGGTTCGGTTTAGGGTTGGGCTGGGTGAGAAGGTTTAGGATCTAAAGGCCCCTGAAAGCCGGAAGAACCCTAAACCCTGAAGCCCAGTTTAGGGCCCCAAAAAAGCACATACGCAAAAATTAGGATAGGGATATCCCATATAAGCCCCCTTATAATGAAGCCCATTAAGGTAGGGATATCCCTATAAAATCCGTATGCTTATGTGCTTTTTTGGCCCCTACCAGTTGAAAGGGCCTGGAGCGCCAACACAGCGGCCACGTCGGAGTGTGGAATATTCACCTGAGCTGGTGGGTATTGGGATTTGAGGGCTACACCCTTAAGCGGCTAAGGGTTTCTGGGTGTCGGAACTTCGGAAGTTCGTTGGAAACGACTTTGACAAAATACTTGCAGTTCTAGGGTTTTACAAGGGTTGTGTTAAATGTTTCTCTGAATGTTCCATAAGGGCTGTATCCGGGTTGATAAAGAAAGGCTACCATATTTTGATTTGCCGGGCGATTATGGCAAGATCTTGCAAGGGCCTTCATGTTTTGAATAGTACGCAAGGAGTATACGGGGATAGTTTTACTAGCGGCTCAAAACCTTTGTAGTATCTTTATATAATAACAGCAAAGCAGCACCCTGAACGACGCCCACCAACAACCCTGAATCAGGGTTTAGGGCTTCAACACGTGCAAATCTAGGGAAACCAACAGCCCTAACACCTTCAACACTGACGCCTGTTGCAACAATAACCCTAAACCCTAAACCCTAAACCCTAAACCCTAAACCCTAAACCGCTCAGGCACGAGGTATTCCCACGGAAACCACGCGGGATTCGACAGCATCTCGGCCGTCAACTTCCGGTGGGACGGCAAGACCTAGGAAGGCCGGGACTGAAAGATTGGAGGTTAGGTACGGCCCCCATAAAGGAAAGAGTCTATAATAGGGCTACTATTAAGGTCCTACTATATCTATGTTATGAAGACCATTCAACTATTCCTCAAAAGCCGGGATGAAAGTAGGTAGGATAAATGGATCCCTGATATCAGGGACCCTTTTTTGGGATTAGACCAGCTACCTTCATCCTACCTCTTGAGGCCCCTGAAAAACCCAAATCACAAAAGACCGAAGTCGCAACCCCACACAACCCCTCAATGATCGAATACCCTACAGCACACCCACGACCCAACAACCCCGTAAACTCACCACATTACACCCTGAAACCGACAAAGAACCCAACTACAGTAAACGCTTCAACGCCTTTTGGTAGAACAAGATTTCCGAAACCCTAAATCCTAAACCACTAAACCCCTAAAACCCCTAAACCCCTAAACCCCTAAACTCCTAAAACCCTAAACCCCTTAACTCCTAAAACCCTAAACCCCTGAAGCCCTAAACTCCGAGCCTCCGGAGGTTCGTCCTCTCTGCAAGACCGATAGGCTTCTTTGCACGCAGCCTGAACCACAAGGGTCTCTGGAGCTCAGAGTTTCAGGTTTAAGGTTCAGGTTTTTTTTTTTGAACTCCTTTTTACGTCCGCTCGAACATCCCGAGTCGACATAAGGTTCAGGGCTTAAGGTTTAGGGTTCAGAGTTTCGGGTTTCAGGTTTAGGGATTCAGGGGTTCGGAGTTTAGGGTTTCAGGTTTAGGGTCTCGGGGGTGCAGGTTTAGGGTCTCAGGGTTGTAGGAAACCTTTCTTGAATCATCCACGGTTTAGGGTTTAGGGTTTAGGGTTTAGGGTTTAGGGTTTAGGGTTATGGGAGGGTTGCGGGTACGGTTGCTATACGGTCTCTTTGGGCTCCTTGCATTAATAGTAGAATCAATCTTCGGGGAATCGTCCCTAAACCCTAAACCCTACTTACAGGATCAGGAGACTTAGTAAGTAGGGTTATGAGTGTTATGAGTGAGGTAACTTTGCTTATATAGTACTTATGACCCCAATTAAGGTACTCATAACCCCACTTACTACGTCCCCTGATCCTTCAAGTAAACCCTAAACCCTAATCCCTAAACCTTAAACCCTAAACCCAAAAACCCCTACATCCCTAAACCTTAATCCCTGAACCCCAACCCCTAAACCCTAATCCCTAAAGCCAAGTTCCTAAATCCCTAAGCCTTAAACCCAAAAAACCCTAAACCCTGAACCCTAATCCCTAAAGCCATGTTCCTAAATCCCTAAGCCTTAAACCCTAAAAACCCTAAACCCTGAACCCTAATCCCTAAAGCCATGTTCCTAAATCCCTAAATCCCTAAACTAGGGCCCCCAAAAAGCACATAAGCAAAAATTAGGATAGGGATATCCTATATAAACCCCCTTAAAAGGAAGCCCAATAAGGTAGGGATATCCGGGTAAAATGCTTATGCTTATGTGCTTTTTGGTTCCCTACGGTTGATGATATAAATCCTGCATTACCCATAATCAGGAATATACCACAATTCCCATAGTTTAGGGTCCTTAAGGTCATGCAGGATTTATATCATCAACCGTAATAATCCCTTTGAGGGTTCCGAGAGCCAAGGTTTCGGTGGAACTCTGAAGCCCCCGATGCCCGCAAACCTGAAATCAGAGTTGGGCTGTTCGGCTTAAGGGTTTAGGATTTAAGGATTAGGGTGTAGGGATTTAGGGTTTAGGGATTTGGGGTTTAGGGGGTTTAGAATTTAGGCGTTTCAGAGCTTAGGAGTTTTAGGGGTTTCTAAGAGCTTTTTGGCGTTTCAGAGCTTAGGGGTTTTAGGGGTTTCAGAATTGAATCGTTTCAAAGCTTAGGAGTTTGGTTTCTTAGGTGTTTAGGCGTTTCAGAGCTTACGGGTTTTATAGATTTTTAGGCGTTTCAGACTTAGGGTTTTAAGCGTTTCAGAGCTTAGGGGTTTAGGGGTTCAGAGCTTCACGGTTTTGGGGCTTAGAGTTCTAGAAAAGTGCTCGAGGATGCCTCCATCCCATCCCACTGCTGCCACGTCGAAGCATCGAAGAGCACTTCGTGCATGGGCAGCTCCATCGCCACGATGGGGAACATCTGAGGCTGTTTCACTCTGGGTTCGCGCTTTGGAGTTATGGATCTTCGACTAAGGGAAAGCAGAATGTTAATGCGTAACTTAACGCCCTGCTTCTGTAGCCTGAAGGGCCCAGTCTTTGCATTGAGTGTGTGAGACTTTGACTTCTGGGCCCGTACTCACAAAAGAAACTACAGTAGCAGCTATATCGAAGCAGTTGCAGTACTTGGTGGCAATGGTACTGCTGGTCGCGGTCGCCGTCGTCGTCTTAGTCGTCTTCATCGTCACCCTCCCCGGCAGCGCCAAGCATTCGACTTCAAAAAGCCCTGTGGAGCTAACTAAGCCCTAAACCAACCCAAGCTGACTCTATCTGAGACCCCGAATCGGGAATTTTTGTGCATTAGGGCACTTAGGGAACCCTTCGACCCAAAACTCCAACTCTGAGATTCATCGGCCTCCAAAGGGCGCATCGCCATCCCAAGTGCTTTCCCTCGGAGGGATTTGTCGGATGCTTCGGCACGTAGGGTTCATGGGGTTTCTAGGGAGAATGCGAATGTTAGGGCCTAAATCCCAAATCATAAACCCCAGAATCTTGGGGATTAGGGGTCTAGTGTACAGTTCTCGAAATGTTCCAGATTTCACACTTTCCATGTTTTGGGGATTTCGTCGTTTGAGCCCTCTGGAAAGAGGCGGACGATGCTTGGGCTACCTGGGTCCGAAGTAGTCCCGTAAATCAACCCCGTATGGGAAGAGACCTGGAATGAAAGACGGCTAATACCAGACCTTCAAATTAGTTCATGTGATAACCTTCAGAAATCGAAACACTATTCTCTACCGCCGTGCGTCGGTCTCCACTGAAGGCCTGTATGTTGGCAGGCTCCGGAAGCCGCGTCATGGAAGCATCTGCGTCGCCTGGGCCACAATGATAGAGGCGGGCCGAAAAAGGCTTCCAAGTTGGAAAGGTTGCGAAGGTTGCGGGCCATCATCATAATTCGGGTAGTTCTCTAAATGAGGTTTTGCTTTCGGGTGAATTTATAACGGTGCCATACTAGTGTTGTGGGGACGGGACCACCTAAAACGGGACCATAGTTTGGAGACTTTTCCCGGTACACATACTCCTGCCCGCCTTGATACCACGCCTCCTTCGGTTTCAGGGGCATGGCATGACCAAGACGAAGATCACCATTCCAAGCCATATCATCTCCATGACCGTCACTCTCGTCACCGCCATTATACCCTAAATCCTGCATCCTAGACCCTAAACCAATCATAATCGTATCATCTCTGTCCCCATCGTCGCCCTCATTGATTAATTCTCGCCGTCATCGTCAACACCATGTGACACACTCCTTTCATGGATCTTATAGCCTAGCACGAACTCCTCCTGGATCTACAATGCTTACACCGTGAGCTGAAAGCAAGAGGTTCTAGCCTTCAAGCGGAGAGTTCTACATCTATGAAACCTTGGGGGATCCTGTACAGACTCATCCTACTAGTAGAGTTCAAGGTTTAGGGATGCCAAAGGTTGGGGGAATCCTGTGCGGACCATCGCATGGCCTGTCAGCACTGTGTCCAGCTGGACATCGTGGGTGATCAGCGTGGTGCCCACGGCCAGCTGCTGTGTGCCTCGGTAGGAAGCTTTTTAGACAGTTGCCAACCCTGCTTTTTCCTGATCCCCATGGACGGGCTGTCACATCCAAACACACCGGCTCAACTCAGACGCTTCGGCGCTCGAGTATATTCTACCGAGTTGGCCTCTTAGTGTGGCTTCCGGCTCGATTCCTTTAGACTCAACTTCAGGTATTCATTTGGGTGCTAAGATGAGAGTTAACATGGTTTTGAGGTATCTCTTACTCAGCTTTCTGGGGTTTCTTTTTGGCAGGTAACAACCAACGCAGCGTGGTGAAGCAGTTTGGGAGAAACTTTCGGGTTTGAAAGCCTGAACTGCCAATCTTTAGGATGTACTTGGAGGCTCATGTGTAGTTAGAAGTAGGGTTATAAGTAGGATAACTATACTTATCACCCATATTAGGGGACTTACAACCCCACCTATAACTATCCATGAACCCTAAACCCTGTACCCTTATAGAATCCCTATAGATCCCTTTAAAGGGACCCTTAAAGGAGCCCTTATAACTACCCATGAACCTCCTAGGAGGGCCTTAAGGGCTTAGTACAGACCGGGCTCAACTCTAAAGCCGAAACCTTAGGTGCTGAGTTCATAAGCCCCAAAAAGTGTACCCAAACCCTGAACCCTAAACCCCAGGGTTTGGGGCTCCAGGGTTTTAGGGTTAAGGGGTTTCTAGTCTTATGGTGGGTGATATTACACAAAAAAGTGTAGAGTGTATCCACTCAGCTACTAAGAAACCCCTAAACCCTGAACTCTCAACTCCAGGCGAGACACACACCAGGAAGTCCCAGGCGGTTGCTTCCTCTATCGCTTCTTTGAGCTCACGGCCCGTCCAGCCGGGCTCTGTCTTGATGCGGCAGAGCTGTTTGTCCAGTGCGTAGACATCCAGCCATGGCATTTTTAACTACAGTGACTGGGAAGGGAATACGAAGCATCGGAAGCACTGGAGAACCTGACACATCGGGGGTTAAGCATTGCGGGTTGCATGCTTTCAGGGTTTAAGGTCAGAGGATTTCATGCAAACATCTACTAAACTATACTACAGCAGAATAACATATACTATCATGTATCTACACTTACCCACTGAACTATTAGAACCCAAAAAGTTTATATAACGGTTGGGTATTGGGGATCTAAATTATCTAAGTACAACATACTGCAACGTTGCAGGCTACACTCAGCTCTCGGACCATCCAGCCAAACAGCATCGGCCAGCGAGCGGAGCCGCAGTTAGGGTTTAGGGGTTTAACGTTTATGGCTCAAAATCTTCCCTAAGCCCTTTTCTTGGTACTCAATATAGGGGCCTCAAGAAGTACCAATGCCCTTTCTTCGCAATTTAACGGAACACCTTAGAGAAATTACCCAGGTTGAGCTGGAAACGCTTCAAGCAGGTGCCCTAGTCCTGTCATATGCAGCCCTCCTCATACCCTAAACCAATAAGCCTCGAAAGCCCTTAAAGCAGGTTCTATCTGGCTCCCCTGAGGGGTACGAAAGGGTTCTGATTAGTAAGGTTACCTTGAAGGCTACTCCAGGGTTTCATAATAGCGTTCCTAGGAGCCCTCAATGGGAATCCATCAAAGAAGGTACCTGACTCGATCTGACACCGCCTCGCTGTCGCCGCCACTGGTTGTTCGCCGCTCGTTGTTCCTTGGCTTTCGCTCATCTTCATCTCGAAATCTAGCCTCTGAAGCCTGACTTTTAGGATCAGAGACTTAGTAAGGAACTTGTAAGTAAGTACTTGTGACCTCAGGTACTTCTGGTATTGCAAGCGTTTGCTCATCAGCAGAACGAGCAGCAAGAGATCTTAAATGGTCACCCTGGACATCTCAATCTAGAATCTTGGCAATGGGTTCATCCAACTTATTCCTTGTTCTTACTGGTGTGCTTCTCCGTTGCGATTGAAACCACACCGGTACTACTGATGAGTATACCATTCTTCCTTGAGGTTCAATGGGCTTTTGTCCAGCAGCATTTTTCAAGACCTTGCCCCCGAACGCCCCAATCATGAGATCCTGTAGCGTTTTTTGTTTGAGGGCTTCAGGGTCTGACTCCAGCAGCTTGTAAGCGCCTAGGACAGGTGAAAGCTAGCGCCACCGAAATGCGGAAAAATATCCAACATGTCTGACACGAGCAATTGTGCCTTAGATGTAGGGTTTATAAGTCCGCGAGTATAGGTTATAACTACAGTTATCCTACTTATAACCCTTGAGGATTTAACTGAAGGGGTTTAGGGGGATTAAGGCTTAGCTCGGGGTTTAGGATTTGATTCAAGCTCACAGTTTAGTTTAGGGTTTAGGATTTGATTTAGGGCTTAGGGTTTAGGGTAGTATGCCAACCCTTGTTGAACCCCCGCTCCCATTGCCAAGGCAGGCCAAGCTTCGGAGACACGGCGGTGCAACCCAGCATCAATGCCATCCCCTGCCGCACCGCTGAAACATGTTGCGAGTCAGAACTATCAACAAGCAGTGTCTTTAATTATGAACTTGATCGCACTTGTGACCTCCACCTCCAAACCCATAGGTTGAGGTTCCGAAGCTCACGGCAGGCTGCGCGTCTGCAAGCCGGAAGTGAAACTAGAGGCCCCCATAGGAACAATCCCAAGCCCACGTGACACCCTCGGCTCTAACATCGGGTCCTGAAAATTGGAGTAATGTAGGAACCTTAAGAATTAGAATAGGGGTTTTGGGCTCCTTCGTAGTATAGTTATAATAAGGAACCCGAAAGAAGTATTGGCAATTATTTAGGCTTCTATAGTAGGGTCTCGGGTTCAGGGTTATGAGAGTAAGTACGTAGGGTCTGGGTATCTGTTCGGGTCTCAACTTACAGCTGCAAAGAGGTGGTAAACGACAAGATCTTCCATGTACACCTTGAAACTGTCAGCCGCTTCTTGGAGGTACATGGGTAACTATACGTGGTGTTTTTAAGTCCCCGGATACAGAAAACATTAGTAGTTGTCCTATTTATAAGCCCTGCTTATCACCACCCATGAACCTCCAAGTGAGTCCCTGTTCCGCCGCGCGAGAGGCCATCCCACCCCGAAGGACTCTCCCTCATCCCCCCAGCGGGCCGCAGAACTCTGCTCGCAATCGATCGACGTACTGGGTCCTTACAGAGGCAAGGCCCATGAAAAATTCGTTTTGGCTCAAATTCTGGGAATGAAGGATTCAAAGAGCATTTCTTGGTGGTTGGAGCACTTTCAGCAGAAGCGTAACCTGCCTATGAAGGAGGAATATCCTTCCAGGATAGCCTGCTTAGGAACTGTTAACAAAGGCTTAGATACAGTCATCTCCAACTACAGGAGATTCATCGAACTCCGAATCCTACAAAGATTCTAAGGTATGAACCAAAATCCTGGACTGGAGTTTCATTCATTGTTCGAGGGTTCAGGGTCAATGGAGTCTAGCCCTGCTCTGGCTCTCACTCATAAGTTGAGTTTTTGCTCATGAAGGGAAGAACACCAAAATCGATTAGCGTTGTAACAGGAAGAACCTTGCTAATTGTTTGAGACTGTCAGTCCCATTCATCCTCTTCTCCCTCAAGCCTCCAAACCAACAGCATTTTTCCTAAACAAAGCTCTTGCATCAGAAGGCAAGGGGTTGAAGGCTTGGGGCCTAGGGTGTCAAGGGTTTAACGCCTGTGCGCTTGCGGCCGTTGAACCCCAAACCCAACAATCGACACCCTCAACCTCTCAAATCCTGAACCCCGCCGGTCCCTGAGGTCATGGCCCTGGATACCCAGCAGGAAAGATGTTCTGTTCGAGGTAATGGCCTCAGGGCTTGGGCTGTCTGTGTCGACGGTTCAGGTACGGTTGATGATATAAATCCTCCATTACCCATAATAAGGAATATACCATAATTCCCATAGTTTAGGATCCTTAAGGTAATGCAGGATGTATATCATCAACCGTATAGGGTTGAGGGTTCAGGCTCAGGCCTGGGTCCCCAGTGTATATGCTTTTTAGGGTTTAAGGGTTTAGGGTTTAGGGTTTAAGGGTTTAAGGGTTTAGGGGTTTAGGGTTTAGGGTTTAAGGGTTTAAGGGTTTAGGGGTTTAAGGGTTTAAGGGTTTAGGGGTTTAGGGTTAGGGTTTAAGGGTTTAGGGGTTTAGGGTTTAGGGTTTAGGGTTTAAGGGTTTAGGGTTAGGGTTTAAGGGTTTAGGGTTTAAGGGTTTAGGGTTTAGGGTTGCTTGTCTTGGTGGAGATGTGACGGGGTGCTTTACAATTCCTAAAAGAGAATTTATTCGTACACACGGCAATATGGGTGGTTTAAGGGTTGAGGGCTTAAGGACGTACTGGTTGAAGGTTTACGGTGCACGGGTTCACTGCTGGTTTATAGGTTCAAGGATTTTCGGCTTTAGCGAGTTTTCTTTCTCTTCTACCAAACCCTAAACCCTGAACTCCAAAACCCGAAACTAATGAAACCCTATACCCTAAACAAATGAAGCCCTAAACATACCCCAAACCCTAAACCGCAAAACCGAAGAAGAGCTACGCCCATGAGCGATCTGATTCACACAATACTCTCTCATCTCAAAACCCCTAAACCCTTACCCCTAAACCCCCACACCCTAAACCCCTTAACCCTAAAACACCTAAAGACCTACTCCCCTAAACCCAAATCCCCAAACCCTAATCCCATAAGCCCTAAACCCTAATCCCCTAAGCCCTAAACCCCTAAACCGAAGAAGAGCTACCCACATGAGCGATCTGATTCTTGCAACTCGGGACCATGCCTGCGAGCTTCCGGTTCCCGAGCAAGCGCCGGCCTGCGAACGAAAGGATAACGGAGGGTTTAGGGTTTAGGGGGGGTTTAGGGGTTTAGGGGTTTAGGGTTTAGGGCTAAGGATAAAGGAGGGTTCGGGGTTTAGGGGTTTAGGCTTTGGGATTTAGGGCTAAGGATAAAGGAGGGTTCGGGGTTTAGGGGTTCAGTGTTTAGGGGTTTAAGGTTTAAGGCTAAGGATAAAGGAGGCTTTGGGGTGGTCTGTCCATGATTTTTTGCAGGGAACTACTTTGGCCTTTGGGGTTTAGGGGTTTAGGTATTCTGACAACATTCCGCTGACGTCGGTTCTACCCCCCGCTGCTGCTGCTGCCGTAGATGTAGTTGCCGCAGTTGTTGCAACAAGCAGGAGCAGCAGCAGCAGGAGTAGTAGTGGTGGCAGTAGTAGTTGGAGGAGGAGGAGAAGGCGCAGGAGGAATTTTCAAGACTTCTTGTTGTTGTTGTTGCTGTTGCTGCTGTTGTTGTGGTTGTCTTGGTGGTGGTGGTGGTGGTGCTGCTGCTGGTCGTCGTCTTTGCTGTCGTTGTGGCCAAAGGAACCACCCCGGCGTGCTTCTGGTCATTGAAGGGACGATTTCAAGCAAGGTTGGCCATTGAAGGGACGATTTCAAGCAAGGTTGGTCATTGAAGGGACGATTTCAAGCAAGGTTGGATTTTTTGGGGTCCGGAATCATCAGGAGAATAAAGGTGACACTAAAGCACCGTTATATATGGCCCCCTACATTATTTCTTACTTCCAGCCCCGCTCATGCCTCCTTGTCGATGTAATTCCACTCTGGGTTCGAACCTCAGCAGAGCCAGTGCAAATTCTTCCAAATCACTATCTGCTTAGGGTTGCAGGGTTTACAGGGTTAAGAGGTTCGGAAACAGTTTTTCTCTTCCTCCAAACACGCCGGAGGCCCTACTCCTCTTCCATGTACAAAGTCTCAACCATAGGTTAGGAAAGTGGACAGGAAAAGGGGGACATGTGTAGAGCTCCAAGCCCTAAACCCCAAACCTTCAGCCGTAGAGCTTCAGGGGTTCGGGTCGCCCGGTAATATTGCCTGGAGCTTTCAACACAAGGCCCGAAACATGTAAGTTACACGCATCCTACCGTCTTTTGGGTACTTCCTCATACCAGGCTGTTTC